AGTTCTCTGTCATTAAATAGATTCTTCAAAATATAAACACGTCTAGTTTTATTGGTTTTTTTCGATCTTACATGCTTTTCTCGAGATATCTCCTTTTGATATAGTTTGTATTCCGGTTTCTTTCCAATTTAGTCTCTGATTAGAGCGGAAACGCTGTACTTCACTCGGTGCTACTTGCTGAAAAGTATATAACACTGTATTTAGGGAAATCACTCTCACATTAACGCCACGTTCTACTTTAGGTTTTTAATTATTAAGGAAATCACTGTACCATGAAGGGGAATGGAGTCAAGTTCTAGCAATGTGATACACCTTAGTTTGCTACGGTAACCCAGTTTCATTCTGTGAGTAAAGCGCCCTCTGTGAACTAAAATATCAACGCTTGTAAATGATTTGCATTTTCTGGAAAATCCAAATCTTCAATGAAAATAACTTTTCTCATTCAAGATTTGGAAGTTGCTACCCAACAACGCTCTAAAGGGGAATTTAGGGATCGAGTTTGTATACTCAAATGCATCTTTTGAAATTTATCCGGCATGTTTGTATTTCGATTTTGTTTTTTGATCTTGTACGCATTTCTCTTTCTTACCAGGCATTTTGCATTATTTTTCCTAGTAAAAACTATCCATTTTAATTAAATTAATGGTAGTTAACTATTATTTTTGTTAAAATAAAAGTCTAGGAACGAAACAAATCTTACTTGAATTTCCATTATTTTCATAAATAGCTCTTGTAAGTGGTTTGTCGTAGTTAGTAAGCTGCAGTCTCTCTAGATTTTTATCTTTTACAACATCTGCAGTCACAATATCAATCGGCGATTGTTTCCGTCCATTACATGCTGGGAAAGTTTCACCCCAATATTTTGGACCTAGGTTTATTAACAAAAACTTTATGAATAGATATAGCAATTCAGTTCAATATCCAAAGTTGTTTGTACCCCGTAAAAGATTAAAAAAAAGAAAAAAGAAACAGGCTGTTAAACCATTTATCTCTATTTTTCATAAAGTAAAATGAAAGCTTTTATTAATTTATGTATTTTTTCCACTATTAAGGACTTTTTTCCAGATGTGCCATGGACCACCTCCTCCTACATCAGAAAGCCACCACACGGTTTTTTATAACTAATCTGCGCAGACTATTTAAAAAGTGAACTAGTGGTGCGCATGAAATCACATTCTCATACCTGCCAACTTTTAATCTTTTGAAGTAGGATTTTCCCCAGTGGTAGTAATATGGAATTTAAATTACAATTTTATGTAGATATATAAGCTGTATTTTGGAGAAGCTTATGCGGACTACCACGAATGGTAGAAAATGGTAGAAATCATATAAATCTCGGTGCGCTGCCGCGAAGCGGTATTAACCGATTCATCTGTCGTTGTAATTCGATGATGAGGAGTAGTGAGGTGGAATGGAGATGGGGGGAAGAGGTGGTGCTGAGCGCCAAAAATCGAGAGGGTATTTCGTGTGCTAGGGCAACGTCATATTCCTAAGGAAAAAGGCAGTGATTGGGCTAAATTTAGTGTTGTCGTCAATTAATTCAATATCTAGGAGTGAATTAAAATTGCTGGTGGTACAGGTTTTTACTTCATCGTAGAAATTTTGGTTTAAATTTCTATATAGACGTTGATGTCATCAATTTTAAGACCCCTTTTTATACTATTATGGACTACCACGACAGCATTGCATATTAATATATATGCTTAATTATTTGAAAAGTAATGGTGGTCAAAAATATTATAAATTAAGTTTATAAATGCAAAGAATATATAAAAAAAATTCATTTTACTACCATTTTAAAAATAGAAATAAGATTTTACGCTAAATGCGCAAAAGCTGGCTGGTATGCATTCTATTTTAAAAGTAATTGAGAGAAAATTATCATATATATTTGAGATTTGAATCTTTGGTGGTTGACAAGTAAATAAAACAAACCAATTATGTTTTTAAAATAAAGAAAAATTAGACGTATATTTGCTGTCACTTCTTATTTTTATTAGATTTTCTATTAAAAGGCTCTTTCGTAAACTAGTTTACATCCATAGTTGTCTGATCGGACTACCTATAGAATACCGTGTGGAGGCTTCAAGTTATAGGAGGCATTGCGTAGACCTGTAGATGCTATAACTGTCACTAAGTGTTAGAGTACAGGAGTGCTTTTAACAGACCTGCCAACTTTTACTTTTTCCGAGGAAGTATTTCCCAAGTGAAATGCAATTTTAAAATTTTAGATAAATTTGACTTTTCACAATGGCTACGGTTTAACACGTTCACGCCGGGTGACCCACCGGTGGGTCACGCTAGATTGTCTCATCTTGGCAGCTCACCGGAGTAAAAATTTGTAACAATAAATTTCATTTTTCAATTTTTTTCCGGGAATAATAAAAATCCATGACTACCAATTGTTTTTAACGGATGCAATTTTTATATAGAATTGCTTCTTCGCCGTGATAAATTTCCTTAGAGTGAATTGTTATTGTTGAGAATAGATTAACTCCTCCCGAATATTATCTAATATTGAAATAGTTCTTCTACCAGTATTTTCTTTCTTCCCGTACCAGTATTTTCATTTTTCCCGGCGTGAACGTGTTAAACTCCTCTTTGTTTCAATAATTTGCTCGTATATATAAGATTGATTTATTTGTATTTTGTAGTAGTCAAAATCATATTCAATTCAATTTACAAATTTTAGAACTAAAAAGAAATTTATAAGATTCATTATCACTTTAAATATGAAAATGAAATACTACGAACAATCCGTAGTTAAAAAACAAGCCACAGCCGTACTCATGTTGGACGTCGCTAAGGCGTTTGACAGGGTATGGCACATCGGACTAATCGTCAAAATGATTCGCCATAAGTTGCCGACGGATTTCATCCACATCATCAACGACTATTTATTAAATAGGACTTTCCAAATCAAAATAAACGAGCATTACTCGACAAGCAGAATGATACAAGCAGGTGTGCCGCAAGGCTCAATCCTTGGGCCCATTCTATTTTTAATATACTGCACTGACTTCCCNTTATTTTCATAAATAGCTCTTGTAAGTGGTTTGTCGTAGTTAGTAAGCTGCAGTCTTTCTAGATTTTCATCTTTTACAACATCTGCAGTCACAATATTAATCGGCGATTGTTTCCGTCCATAACATGCTGGGAAAGTTTCACCCCAATATTTTGGACCTAGGTTTATTAACAAAAACTTTATGAATAGATATAGCAATTCAGTTCAATATCCAAAGTTGTTTGTACCCCGTAAAAGATTAAAAAAAACAGGTAGTAAAACCATGTATCTCTATTTTTCATACAGTAAAATGAAAGCTTTTATTAATTTACGTATTTTTTCCACTATTAATGACTTTTTTCCAGATATGCCATAGACCACCACCTCCTACATCAGAAAGCCTCCACACGGTTTTTTATAACTAATCTGCGCAGACTATTTAAAAAGTGAACTAGTGGTGCGCATGAAATCACATTATATTTTAAAAGTAATCGAGAGAAAGTTATGATCTATATTTGAGATTGGAATCTTTGGTGGTTGACAAGTAAATAAAACAAACCAATTATATTTTTAAAATAAAAAAAATTAGACGTATATTTGCTATCACTTCTTATTTTTATTAGATTTTCTATTAAAAGGCTCTTTCGTAAACAAGTTTACATCCATAGTGGTCTGATCGGACTAACTATAGAATACCGCGTGGAGGCTTTCAGTTATAGGAGGCATTGCGCAGACCTGTAGATGTTATAACTGTCACTGAGTGCTAGTGTACAGGAGTTCTTTTATCAGACCTGCCAACTTTTACTTTTTCCGAGGAAGTATTTCCCAAGTGAAATGCAATTTTAGAATTTTAGATAAATTTGACTTTTCACAATGGCTACGGTTTAAACTCCTCTCTGTTTCAATAATTTGCTCTTATATATAAGATTGATTTATTTGTATTTTGTTGTAGACAAAATCATATTCAATTCAATTTACAAATTTTAGAACTAAAAAGAATTTTATTAAAGATTCATTACCACTTTAAATATGAAAATGAAATACTACGAACAATCCGTAGTTGTTGGAAACTATGCTTTACTCCAGTCAAAAACAAGGAAAATATAAAATTGTTTTACTACCATTCTTTTTCCTCTTTTCCCTGGCGAAACAGCTCTGATATTAATATATAAATTTAATTTTAAACTAAACATATGGACTTATAGCTATACACCTTGATTACTGGTAAATATTATTCAATTCTGAATGCTTATAGGGCAATAATAAAAAATATCAAAATGTAAAACATTCCTGAATATCAATAAAAATTGTAGGGCTTATAAGCTGCATCTTGTAATGAGCGCACAAATCTGCGTAGGAATAAATAAATAAAAAAAAATAATTTTTCTCTTATCCCTTTGTTTTCAAACTTAATAATAAGAAAAGAAATAATAATTATTTATAATAGCAACAGGTAATCAATAATCAGAGATAATATAATCTAGGCAATAATAAACCAAAGGTAGGATGGCAAGATAAGGTAAAGAACTGAGGCTTACAATAATAGATAAAACCAGAAAGGGATTACAGTGAAAGCATCACTAAAATGTCTTCCTGGCAATTTTTTTTCGGATAACAAACAACAAAAATTTCATCCATATAGTTCCTCGACCTGTCTGCCCTTTTGTGGGAAAATTTGATTAGAGAAATATACTTAAATACCTATTTTGGATTCTCTTCTTTTTGCGCTAAAGACAAAACCTTTCAACATTGCTGGAAAAAATGCTCATGCAATAATTTTTCAACTGCTTATTTGTATAAAAGTGTTATACATAAATGTAAAAATATATTCTTCAATACTGTTTTTAGTACTTGGAATCAAATCAGATTCCAAGAAAAATGTTTTTTTCAAAAGAATTTTTTTCTTAAACCCCTCTCCCTCTGCCAATAGCAGTAAGAACGGCGCCACTGACAACTAAAACACATTTTCCTCAAAAAAGGTGGTAGCAGGACTTATCTCTACTGTGTAAATTTTCCAAATCAGATCCTTGAAACTATACAAACGTTCATTTTACTTTGAGACAACATTTGATGTCTTCAGGAATAAATCTTCCGCAGTAATGTAGAAGCAGTCTAAGATGAGCTTTGCAGATGCTGGAATGTTGTAGTTTAATCAGGATGGGAAGTTTTTTTTTGCCGATTTCTAATCTGATGCTCTTAAAGTTCTGGATCAACAAAGCATTCTTGAGATGCTTCGAAGAACCTCAAACTTCATAAGTTCACCTTCAGATTTGCTGGCATACCAAGGATGAGCAAGGACTTGACGTTGGTCTAGTTTCTTCCTCCAAATGGAGAGATGATAATTTCAAAATAAGGGTTAAAATTGACAGCTATATAGAAGGAACAATTCCCTATATATATAGATTCTTAGTAGTTAAATGAAAAATTAAGCAACAAGTCGGTTGAGAATAATAAAGTGTGTTTCAATTTTTCTATAGACGAATCAGTCAAGATTGCGTCATCTATAAAGTTTGTGCATAACTTTATATTAATTATTTAACGAAATGCAATCATAGAATTTCAGTAAATCATCCAACACAATCTACTTAAAACATCTAACTTACCATTTTTAAATTGCGCACTATAACTCCATTGCTTTCTTATTTCGAGAGGGCAAGCTGCATTTGTTGATCCTATAAGCAAAATTTCAGATCAGAAATAAGTTTATAGTTTCAAAACATTCATGTTAAATAAATAAACGTGTAAAAAGGTTTCTTCAAATAAGAGCCCAATTTGAATTGTTGAACGACCCCATTCTTCTTAAAGTTAAGATACAGAACTTTAAATTCTTGAGGGGATTAATTTTCATATTGTCTAATATGTATGATTTCTTTTTGGCAGTAAAAATAAGATGGAGATTCTAAAATAAAAGAAAAATGACTTGTATGAAGACCCAATGACTGTGACTTCATTTTTTAGATGGAGTAGGGCCATCTTCCAAGTAAGACTTTTAAAGAATCTTTAAGGTAGATCTTTTCTTTGATCTAGCTAGCTCCCAATTCATATCTAAGTTTATTTAGTCAAACACTATAGATTATGCCACATTGAAAAAAAATGCCTAACTTAAGTAGAAAAAAAGTAGACTCTACTGCTGTCAGTTCTTTACTTATGTGCTTGTAGATAATACACAACGCAAACAGGGCGGAATCTTTTAACTGTTTATGTTTGAATGTTTATTTTTCCCTCTTAAGTTAGGTGCTCTCCGAAGCAAGAAAATAGAAGCAACCTGTACTTATTAGGTAACAAACTCTGCTTTGAGTATATTTGAGAAAGGCAAAACCTCTTCGCATGCTTCAGAGCCGGTTTTTGTTTATTTTCAGAGCAAAAAAAACAGGAATTTAGAAGGATGTTTTGGATTTATGATAGGTAAGCAGTTAACTTAATTATGTCACACATTAAAAAAGTGACAAGTTGTCCATTCGCTTCAAAAATTATCATTAATTATCGTACATTGTTGCACAAAGGTACAAAAATTTTAATAAATCGGTAGCGAATTAAATAGTAAAACCTAGATTTAAGATAATAACGCCTACTTTTTAAGTCTTAAGTTTTTTTTAAATTTTTACGCCCACTTTTAAGATTCGCCAATCAACTAAGTTGCATTTTATATGAAGCTTTGGATTTTTGAGATGTAGCAGCGAAAAATTACTAAAAATGAGGAAAACCAGGCAAAAAATAACTTAAATTTCATTTATCATTAAAAATTACTTTTATACAAAGCGGAGCAAATTGGCATCTCTGAACACTTAGAAATGGAAATTCTTTATCCGAAGAAATCTAGACTTTGGGCCGGGATAGACTGCTTGGCAGGACGCTGGACTCACGTTCCCACGAACTTGAGTTCGAATCCAGGGACCGGGAATAAATTTCGAACTAAAAGATCTTTGAAGACCCTGCGTCAAAAAAATACAGCAATTAGCTTATAACTCATGTCAACTGTATGAAAAAAAACTGCACAAAATTTCGTTAGCCTAGCTTAAATATTCATGGAAATATGGACATTTTTATCTTAAAAAATGCTATTTATTTTGACTTACGTTTTCTTACAACTGCAGATATATTCAATGAAATTCAGCCAAATTTTCAAATAATTTTAAATTAATAATAAAAATATCATTTTAAAGCTAAAAAAAAATATAATAAATTACAAATTACACGAGATATGAGTATTTAAAGTAATATTTTTATACCGCGCATGCGCTGACAACATTTTTTTCAAGATAATAAATTTATTTTGAATCGTATTTGAATTTAAAAACGTTTGAGCAATTTTCTGAATAGTTTTTCTTACATTGGAGGGAAAGGCTTAAATAGAAAGAGGTTTTCCACTAATTTAATTTTGTACTCTTAAATAAGATTTATTAAAAACTAGCTGAATCAGTACTGAGAAACATTACGAAATTATGTATTAAAATAAAAAAGCATATACCGACACCATTAAAAGCTTGATGGTAAAACGAAGAAAGTGACATTTTTAATGGAATTAACGAATCAGAGAAAATGAAATAAAGTGGTTGCATTAATATGGCTAGGTTTAATGCATCAGAACCGATCTTGTTTTCACTTTAATCTTAACATAACTAATCCACGTTAGTTTTAAAAGTGCTTGCATGATTATCGTTTCAAATTAGGCAGCGGTAAATAAAATGAAGCTAATAATCAATAGTCTAGTCTTCGAATAAATTTGTAGTAAAACAGTTCAGATTCAACTTTTTTTTCCTTGGAAAATGTCCCTTACCTGGTTCTTCCACGAAGTTTTTAAATAACAAATAGCTAAAATGATTTCAATTTTTTTAAATGTTGTTTGCTGCCTTAATACGTGCAATAAACTATTTTTTATCCAATAGAGCTTTAAGCTAGCAATTATCACTAATGTTATCATTAAAATATGTGAAAAATTGATTCGCTTATAGTTAAATTTAAAACAATGGCTAACGCTGAACCAATTACAAAATTCCTTTACTTTTTTCATTAATCCCGTTCGAATGGTTCGTAGTAGAAGGTTCTAATGTCGTCAGGGACCTTCCTCCTTTATACTATCTATATGGGGAATTTTATCGATTTCGGTTAGATGGTCTAGGAGTCTATAAATGACGCACACTTACTGACATTCATTTTTATGTGTATAGAAGATGACATTGACATTATATAAGATCACACTCTTTTTTTCCAGCTGTTTTATTGCAAATATCCTCACATTTTGTGGTCCGGACAATCATTCTAGGGTATTACTATTTGTTATGAAATTTTGTTTTATGATTCAAAATGAAGTTGGTTGAAAACCCCTTACCATCTAGAGCTTTAAATAAAAGAATGTACAAAAGCTGTTTAGAAATTTGCTAGAAACTTTTTGCATTTTTAAGATATTTAAATCGGACTCTTTTCTTTAGTTACCAAATACGATTATAAACAAAAATATAAAGAAAGTGTTTTTTAATGTTTTTCGTGCATGCTCAGTATGAAAGGATTAATTTAAAAACCTATATCTTGCGCAATCTTTAACGAATTTTCTAAATGAAATTTTTATTATTAATTATAAGCTACTCTTAAAATTCTGTTTAATACTATTAAAATATCCGTTCTTATAGTAAGAAAACGCAAGTACAAAAAAGTAAGTTTTTTTTATAAAAATAAATACATCTTCATGAATATTTAAGATAGGCTTTATAGTTGCTTTTGCTCTAAGAATTAAATAGTTATCTATTATATTAGAATTTTTTTTTATATAACAAGGTCTGTATTTCTGTATTTTATAAACTCCTGCTCGAGTAGATGTCAATCAAACGTAATAGAGGAGAGAGATAAGGAGAAAAAACACAGTAGAAGCCTCTAAATGAGAAGAAATTTTTTGTGAATTTTGCAAAGATTCTAATCAATTTAACTTACGTACACCCTTTTTTTTCTATCTTAACGAACTTATTTTAATCTTCCTTTTATCGTGTTTCAATTACAAAAATATAAAAAAAAATTAGCACTTTTATAATAGAATGTTTACTTAGAGAAATTTAGAAATGCTATTTTTAAAATTATCCATGCTTGTTGAACTCATAAGTTAGAAAAAAAGAGTCAAAATTTGAATCAGTTATAATATGTTTAAAAGTTCATGAACATTGTTTTCGGTACACAAAGGATTTTTAACACTAGGTTTAAGGGACGCGTCATTACGACGCATTTCGAATTTTATAAGGAAAGTTACAAACCCGTTTGCATTTTTATTTTATCTCTTGTAATGACTTTTATCCGTTGAACGAGGTTGATATATATTGAAGTCTATTTTCTTCAAAAGCGTTGAAATATTGAAATTCTCTTTGTGGTATACCTATCTCTACGGATATGCGTCTATTTGACGCAATCGTAATTTAAGACGAAATTTTGAGTAAACATGCAAACGACACATCAATAATAATTAGTACCCTCAATACTTCGTTATCCGATATCGTTATCTCAAATGAAAAGAGGGATAAACAACTGTTTGCCGATAAACAATAATAGAAAGAACAAACTCAGAATGTCAATTGATGTCAGATTTTAAAGGTTTCAGTATATACTATAAAATTTACACTCTTTTATGGAATTGCAGAAAATGTATTCAAAATTAACTTAATTTTTGTGATTCTTGTTTTAATAAATTCAATTTAATAGATTTTTATCCACCACTATTTTTAAAAAAATCGTAGGTTTATATATTTCACAACTTTTGTCATATATGACATGATAAACCATCTCAAAAAATCGCAAAATCTGTCTAATATTTGCAAATTTAGTTTGTAGTTATTTACCGTGGCCAGATGGGCAAGTCATGTCAAATTAGCGTGGCGCTCAGCGTGCTAATATTAGATGCAAATTTTTTCTATAATCATCTACATCATTTATATTTTCGCTGCGTTTGTAGCTATGTATATGCTAGTTTTTCCGATTTTGTTTTTATTAACTTCGTTGTAAATATGTACATATGTAGTAAATATCGTTGTAAATATGTTTTTCAATCGTGTGAATATTTTATGTTATTCGAACTTCTCGTATTCGTACTTGTATTTTATCAATTATTATTCGGATCCTCTTATTTTTTTTTCTCCCCTCCGCAGAGGATCAAAATTGTGATGGCATGTCTTCGGATCATCCTCCGGGATGTTTCCCAGACCGTCACCAATAGCCCATTGTGCAGCTCTAGTGCGACGTAAATTAACAACAACAACAAAAACTTATTTTTTTGTATATATCTTTAAAATTACTTTACTGTTATTTTATCACTCGATGACATACTCCAGTTGCCTTTGGCAAATATTTCTCACATGAAGAGGCAAGGCAAGTACCTCGATCTATAAGCTTACATTAAAGCATTAATGGTTGCAGATTTGCTCCCATCAACCTTACATAATTAACTATATATAATAGGAATGGATTTACTAGCGACTTTTCATCTTTTCCGTCTCGATTTAAACCCTGATTTTAAAAATAAATAAATAAATGAATTAAAAATTCAAAACTTATCATTTCTTAACAACATATCATTATTTTGAATGATTGAGCGTAATGGTGTATAAAAACTTAAAAAACCAACGTCTGATTTTCTTATCTTTGCTATATCAAAAACCGTACGATTCCAGTTGCAAGGATGGCTGGTACCGCAACTACGAGTAACTATCTTCGCTTAATGCCACAAGCTCCCACTTTCTATGGAGGAAATGGAAAAGTGTTGTTAAGATCTTGGTTATAATTTGTGGGTTAAACATTAGCTACTTCAATTTTCACTTATTTTAATTTTAATTATAGAAGGGATATAACTGCCTCTAATTAACGGATTCACAGGCTAACCAATAATGACACAAGCTCCCACTTTCTAAAGAGGAAATGAAAAAGTGTTATTAAGATCTTGGTTATAATTTGTGGGTTAAACATTAGCTCCTCAAGCTCCCTTTTATTTAAACATAGTTTTAAGAAGAGTTAATTATGCTTCTTGATCATTATTATGCTTCATAATTATTCATTGTAGGGCATACATTTTGAAAAAAAAAGTAGTTTATCTTTTAATATCAATATTAGTTTAGCTAAAAATATAACAGCAGCTACATTATACTCACGGGCATTTTCTGGAATTTTCTCTGAAGGGTATATAGTACCGTATGAAGAGGAAACAACAAGCAAACAAATTAAAAATTTAAAAACCATATTAAATAAGTAATGGATACCCAATGTCATGTTCTTCATGAGGAAGATTTTTATTATTATTATTATAATTGAAATGGTTTTATATGTCATCCCCATCCCGCTTATGTGAAATTCTAAACATCTGTTCTTAGAATTTTTTCATTCACGCATTTTTCTAGAAGGCATGTGCACAACAAATAATAATTCTAATAATAGCATTCAATTAACAGAATAACAAATAATAGCTGATCTAGAATTTTCAACAACAGAGTTTTTATTGATGTTCGAGAGTTTACATTGTAATCACGACACGAAACACAGTACCACGAAAAAATTTATTTATTTCCTTATCTTCATTGCGTGTGTAGCTTTTGTGCATTTTGCATTAGAATGAAAATAAATAGTTACCATTAAATGTTAATCAAAATATCAGTTTTAAAAACATATAAACATCTTTAATAAAAATTTATTGCCTGAGCTCAGAATTACTCACAAACCCAAAAAATTAATTAAAATACTCAGCATTTGAGATTTTAAAGAAATAATTTTTTCATTTTATCAGCTTGCTATTAATTCGGTTTTAAAGCATGCTTGTTTCTCTCTAATCAGGGCTCTTTACACAGAGCTGCGAAAGTTGAGGTTAATAATTACAGTGAAAACGAAACAGTTATGAGGCTCCGCCAATAACTGATCTCCTGTCACTGTTTTTCGAAGCTCTGTTGTCAAGGAAAATAAAAAAAATCATAGTTTAAGTGCCTTACACTTAAAGCAATGCGATGATTTTAAACCATATATATATATAATCTTGCCGCGAATAATTAACTCGGCTTTAGAACAGAAAAATAAATATTTTGAAAGCTATTAAACCTTTTTAAAAATCACCAATTTGGCGACATTATTCCACCTTGGTGAAAATTATCAAAATCGCTGCCGAATTNTATATATATATATGGGTAAAATCATATATATATATATATATATAGCACAATAAAAACGAAGAGAAAAACGTAGAAAATTAGTAAGTTTTATTAACTGGGCATAAGCTACAAGTATATAGAGCTCATAAAATATGCTAAAATATTTTTAAAAAAAATGGAAAAAAATAAAAAATAATGACAAGAGAAGAAAATTATTTTTCAAAAGTATTTTAAAAATATAATTTTTGATAATTTTTAACTTAAATATTTTTAAAATTAAACTTTTTTAAAAATCGCTAATTTGGCGACGCATTCCCACCCAGATAAAAATTATAAAAATCTCTGCCTTATTCTAAATTTTTGCAAAATTTCATGAGCCCAGTTAATGCAGCATTGGCGTAAGTTATCAAATATTAAAAAATTAGACAACAAATGCTTTTCATTCTTACAAAACTGTGGTTTTTCTCCATATTGGCGTTTTGGTCCATATTTAAAATAAGCGTGGACAGGGCAGGCTTTTGATAAGCTAAGCATGACCTAACATTCATGAGCAACAATTGCGAATACATAGCAGTTATAAAAATAGCATATTGTTCGCAACAAAGCATCATTTCATATGAAGACGGAGCCTTCGATAAACAGCCTTATATGTCGAATCCTAGATCGACGATTTTGATCATCAGTTCTAAGTTGTCATCTAGTTATTATCTTCATTTAATCTTCTAATTAACGAAACCATTGCGAAACTTCAAATTGGGACAAAATCCGGGTTTATATAAATCGAGTTCAGTACTTTTTAGTTTTACCAAAATTTATAAGATATTTCGATTCTCTACTTTTCTTAATTAGGTTGCTTTTTTTTTATCGTGATTACTTTTTTAAAAAAAAAGTATTAAATCATCTCTCTGTTTTTAATTATTCGTCTTCTCTTTTAAACTGACTCGACTTCTTAATTTTTATCAAAAATAAAAAATTCACATTTCTAAAATTCAGTCTTTCGGGAACTATTTAGACAAATTTCAATGAAACTTTGTGTTTTGCAATGTAAAATTACATTCTTTAACATAATGTTAAAAATTG